CGCGCCCGCTCAGCCCAGCGTCGCCATCTGAGCGCGGGCACCCGAGCCCACCCCCGGAGGCCCGGCTCCGCCCGTCCCTTGCCGCCCCATCCCCGAACATGGTTGTTGTCGGTCTTTGCAGGGAACTACAAGAACCACAAGCTGACCCACAGCGGCGAGAAGCAGTACAAGTGCACCATCTGCAACAAGGCCTTCCACCAGGTCTACAACCTGACCTTCCACATGCACACGCACAACGACAAGAAGCCCTTCACCTGCGCCACCTGCGGCAAGGGCTTCTGCAGGAACTTTGACCTCAAGAAGCACGTGCGCAAACTCCACGACAGCGCGGGCCCTGCCACCCCCTCCACCAAGGACCTGACGCGGACCGTGCAGAGCTGAGAGCTACGGCCTCGCCCTCCCTTCGACCCGACCCAACCCCCAGACAGATCACACCTATAAACTCATGTCTAAAATTAAGAGGGGGAAAAAAACTATAGCAGAGAGGCTAAAGTCTATTTATCGAAACCAGCATATTTTTGGAAAGTTACACGTTTCCTCGATGACTGGCAGCAAGCAGCGTGGCTCCCACCTTTGTATATTCGGGAAACTTATTTAAACCCTGTGCGCCGAAACGTATTTAATGCCGGGCCTCGCGGCTCCTCGGGCGGCGGGGGCGACGCCAGCCTGTGACTTGGACGCCGGGGAAGAGCAAGGCGCCCTCCGCCGTCTTTCTACAGCCATGTAAATCCTCCTGTACATCCGAACACGGAATATATGCATATATGACTCAATAAATAGATCGTTGTTCGCGTTTTCTTTCCCGCCCCCTGTCCCCTCGCGGCGCGGCCAGCTCAGCAACGCCGAAGAATGAGAAGGAAATACGCGTTCCTAGCATTTCCCTGCTCAAATGCGACTTCCTCCGGGAGCTGGGACCACTGTGAGGCCAAACCGGTGTTCCTACTGCGCTTGCGCACTAAGACCACCCCCGCCCCCCCGCGGACCCCCCACCCAAAGCTTGGGTGAAAAGGCCTCCACGTGATGAAATGTTTCTATTTGGTGACTGTTCCGACGCCTAGAATTCTGGGTGTTGCTTTATTTGAATGACTTTTTCTTAAAAGAGGGGTTCAAAGTGGCTGGATGTTGGGGAGCAAATTTGGGGTGCGTCCTCGAGCAAAGCGCCTCCTCGTGCGGGGTAAACGGTCGGGCACGAGCCCAGTCGGGGCGCTTCTGGGCTGGACGCTTCTCTGGGCGACCTACTGCCCAGCACAGCAGCCCATTTCCTGAGTCGCTAGCGATCTCCTCTGCGCCGCCGAGCGCGCTGCTGAAATGATCTCACGCTTGCTTCCTAAGTAATGACCCAAATTAAGAGAGAAAACAGAGACCCTTCAAACACCATTACATTAATCATCTAATCATTCCCAGGAGGGGGCCGGCCGCCGCGCCCCGTTTGATCCGAATCTGGATAATCAACGAGCTCGGATTACTGGCTGGGCGCGCCGACCCTCCTCCGCCCC